TCTTCAACTAATCGTGTCTCAACCAAGTCGGTTATCAACAATGTATATTGTACATACAAAATAAAATTATTTAAATTAATATTTTTTATAAAATAATTATTTTAAATTAAATAATATTATATTATTTTTAAATTTAATAACATTATATAATTTAATATTTTTAAATTATATAAATTATTTAAATTAAACAATATTTTTTAAATTAAATAATATTTTTAAGTTAATATTTTTAAATTAAATAATATTAATTTAAATTAAATAAATTTTTTTTAAATTAAATAATATTTTTTAAATTAAATAAAATTATTTAAATTAAATAATATTATTTTACATTATATTAAATGATTTATATTAAATAAAATTATTTAAATTAAATAATATTATTTTTTTGGACAAAGGTCATTTCATTAGTAGGATAAAAATATCTCACCTATTTAATGGGAATTGGGACTGATTATCCAGCCACATATGCATCTCCGCGTGAGACCCATCTGCCACATACATGCCACATGGTCTAAATCCTAGTCCCAATCATGTATAGTAAACGCATGATAAAGTTGGTTAAGACCGGTATCCCATCATCTTGGTAAGTAAACGAAGCCTTAGAGATTAGGAAATAATACTAAAACATAATTAATTAAGAATGATCATAAATATTCAATATATTTGTGGGTATTCGTTATTTTTAGATTGTAAGTAAATTAAAATCTATCCAAGCCAAACGACAAAGCGTGGAACTTTGTCACATAAGATTCTAAAGCGTGTGAGCATGTCATTTAGGCTCAATACATTCAGAAATTATATATAGGGGGATATTTAAATTATTATGTGCAATTTATGACACAAAATTATTTTCTAAAAAAACTTGAATATCCTATTTTTGTCAACCTGTTGTTAAATGTAAAAGCAATTTTTAGTCAAAATTATTAAATGTTTTGTTATATAATAGGAAACTAGTTTCTTTCACATATATCACTACAAAAACTTGCCACATTCCAACTAAAATCCAACACTAATATATTTTAATAGAAATTGCAGTGTATATTTCAATAGTATATATTTCGTTGAAATAATTCCAATGAAAATATTTCGTTGGAATGAATTTTTATTGAATTTTAGATGAAATTTGAATTTCCAACAGTCATTTTACCAACGATTAATTACCTTATGAATTTCCATTGAGATAATTGGATTTTTTATACTGCCCATATTTCCTTAAAACTATAAACCCAAGTAGTGGCATCAATGTAAATAAGCATCTTCTTAGTGGCAAATACGGAATAACGTTTAGGTAATTATAATTATTTATTTTTATTTTGTATGTACAATATAGATATCAAATCGAAGTTCATCAAGATATTATTAATTTGATATATTATATATACACAATTTATAATTAATAAAATTATTAACTTTGAAAATATATTTATAATTTAAGTTAGTATTTTTTTTTATATAATTTTCATTGAAAGAATGAGAAAAAAGAGAAAGATTAGGGAAAAATTTATGCCTTATAAATAACTTAGAGATTAGGAAAGAATACTAAGACATAATTCATACTTTTAAGAATGATTATAAATTCTCAATATATTTATAGTTATTATTGACCTAGTTATTTTTGAATTGTAAGTAAGTTAAAACATATCAAAGTTAAATGACAAAGAATGAAACTTTAGCACATAGGATTCCGAAACGTGTAAACATACCACTTAGGCTCAATACATTTAAAAATTATATATAGAGGAATATTTAAATTATTATGTGCAACTAGATTATTGTGACACAAAATTATTTTTCTAAAAAAACTTGAACATCCTATTTACGTCAACCAGTTGTTAAATGTAAAAGAAATTTTTTAATTAATATATTCACATAATCAAGAATATTTACTCACCTAAATATTTTTTTTTACATATACAGGAAACTATTTTCTTTCACATATATCACTACAAAAAACTTGTCATATTCCAATTGAAATTCAACGCTAATATATTTTAATAGAAATTGCAATGTATATTTCAATAGTATATATTTCGTTTGAAATGTTTCTAACGAAAACTATTTCGTTGGAATTAGTTTTTTATTGAACTTTAGATGAAATTTGAATTTTCAACGATCATTTTTCTAACGATTAATTACCTTATGAATTTCTATTAAGATAAATTGAGTTTTTTATACTACCCACATCTATCTACTATATAATTAGGCAACACACTTGCCATTTTCTAAAAATTTTATGTGGGCCCTACAACACTTTTACTATTTTTAGAAAATCCTCACATTCTTTAACACGTGTTCATATTTATATTTATATTAATATTAATTGCCTCACCTAATATTTGTTTAATTTACCGATAGGCGATAACTAACAAAGACCCATTAGAGATAACTAACAAAGACCAATTAGACCCATTATTTAATGATTTGACATGTGTTCATCAGTTGTGACTCATTCTTTTAATACAAACAATTAAAAATACGGGACGTTTGTACTTGATAGATATTTTTATAGAATTTTATTTTATTTTTTATTAAATATTTTAGTTAAAACTATTTATCTAATTTTCATAATTCATACTTTACAAATTAAAATAATTATAAGTATTTGTATGCTTAATTCTTAAAATTTTTTATCTTAATTTTGTACATAAAAATTAAATCTAATAGTAGTGAAATTAGATATAAAATATTTTAAGAACATGCGCAATGAATAACACACAAACATTCTTCATAATAAATAAATAAATAAAAACATATTTTTAGAATATTTTTTATTTCATTTTCTGCAACATACAAATTCAATCTAATAATATTAAAATCAGATATAAAATATTTTAAAAACATGCGCGATGAATCACACAAACATTCTTCATAATAAATAAATTCATCATGTTTGTAGAATAATTTTTGATTCATTTTAAATTAATCGATTAAACAAATAGTATTATATATATATAATAAATATTAAATTACGTAATGTAAAGAGTATTTCATAAATACTTTTGTATTTATTAGTAATATTGCGATAACATAAAAATATGACTTAAATACTAAATGGTAGGTAGTTAATTTATTTATTTTATACTTATAAATTTATGTTCATAAAATATTTTATTTTTTAATAGGCAAATCAATCAAACATACTTAACAACACTAAACAATGTCCAAAATGTCATAAGATTTTTATTTTAAAAAAAATATTAACACAATGCACGTCTAACATATGGAAGTTAAAAATACACCCCTAAAACCATGAAAGTCAATTTAGAAGTTAAAGTGAGATACAAGTTACTACATGTTTGTAAGTTTTGTTAGACATTAAAAATACACCCTAAAACAATGAAAGTCAGTTTGGAAGTTAATGTCAGATAGAAGTTAACACACGTGTGTAAGTTACATTATTGTCAGATTGCAAGTTAAAATCATATAGAAGTTAAGACACGTGTGAGTTACATTGTTAGTGGCTTGAATCTTGCACCTTGTGATACAATATTAAAGACTGCTTGAGTTGATATTGAGGTGATTCTTTTAAGACTTTTTTTTTTTTATTAATAAATTTCGTTAGTACACATATGCTATTTAATTTTGTTTCCTAATATTTGTGTTTTGAACGTTTTACAGGCCTCAATAAAAAAGATTCATGTAGATTTGTTCAAAGGTTTCATCACACAAGGTAGAATCATGGGTATCCACACTTTATTGTAGCACCAGCGGCAGATGTAAATAAAAATTTCTAGAAGTTTATGTATAACTTCAAAAGTTTTACGGTAAATGCTCCTTTTGTAAGGACTCTTGATCTGTAATTATATCTTATGCATATCAAAAACAAAATATATATTTTATTTATTGAGGATTAAATTATATGAATGTTATACATTAAGAACTCTGTGCCAACTTTACGTTGCTGTTTCACGAGTTACAAATGAGAAATGATTGAAAATATTAATTTGTGATGATAAGAACAACTCAGAACAATTTACATCGCTGTTTCAGAGTTACAAATATGAAATGATTGAAAATATTAATTTGTGATGATAAAAACAACTCAAAGACGAAGAACGTTATTCTAAATTTATATGAATTGCAAATGCTCTTTTAATTTTTTAATTTTTTTTGTAGCTCCCGTGCATATGCACGGTACCTGTATTAGTATTTCCTAAACCCAAATAGTGGCATCAATGTAAATAAGCATCTTCTTATAGTGGCAAAAACGGAACAACGTTTACAAGGTAGGATGATGAGGTGGGGCAGCCTCGAGGCTAATCATGTCGACCCACTCAAATATTATCAAACATAACAAAAAAGGAAAAAATTAATTACCCTTACCCTTAGACATACATACATACATCAAAGTTCAACATACATACATACATACATCAAGCATACAAGATGGATTGACTTCATTCGGGAGAGAGAGAATGGAATGAGAAAGAAAAGTTTCAATCCGATCCAATGGATTTTTTGACGTCCGCCATAAAACCCCTCCACACTCGGCACACATACTTTCTCTCTCCTCTCTGTACATCTCTCTTCCTCTCTCTCTCAAAAGCGAGCTCAATTAGAACCATCTCTCTCTCTAGTTTTTTTGCTGAAAGAATTAGAGAAAACTTTTTGGCCGCAATCCACACATTCACTGTAAAAGTATATCTATTTGAAACTATATATCTACTCTCTTGTCTCTTGATTTTGGGGTCTTTTTTAAAAGTGATTTTCCTT